TATTGCATCTAGAGTTCATGTTATCATAGTACCTTCCTTCTAAAGAAGTGTAGCTGGTAAATAATCAGATGTAACTGTCCACACTCATGATTGACCTTGCCTGGAGTATGCCGTCAGTCAACATTAAGGTGTTCATTACAATGAAGGAGGTAAATTTAAAGAGTCACTGTATTTTTTTGCCTTCCAAGATCATTTTAGGTGTCCTTAATGTACTGTAAAATCTTTCTCTTTTTCTGAACAAAGGCTGAGCCTTGAATGACCATCAGTTGTTAAAAACACCAGTGCTAAACTGGGCACATTGGCTCATGCCTATAATCCCAGCTACTCGGGAGGCTGAGGTGGGAGGATTGCTTGAGCCCAGGAGGTTGAGGCTGCTGTGAGCTATGATGGTGCCACTGCACTCCAGCCTGTGTGACAGAGCAAGACCCTGTCTCAACAAAAAACAAAAAACAACGAAAAGCTGGCTCCTCATCCGGATACAGGGATTCTATCTTCCCGTTGTGTACTAATGAAATAACTGTTCATTATTGTGGGTTCTACTTGCAGGGTTCAGACTAGGCAATGTGGTACATGCTATACAGGCAACTGAGCAGAGCATTCATGCCACTGACCTGGTACCTCGCTTATGCTTAACATTAGCCAACCTGAACCGTGTGATTTATTTCATCTGTGACACCATCCTCTGGGTGAGGAGCGTAGGTCTCACCTCTGGCATCAACAAAGAGAAATGGCGAACGAGGGCTGCCCACCACTACTGCTTTTCTCTTCTGCTGAGCCTGGTCAGGGATCTGTATGAAATCTCCCTGCAGATGAAACGAGTTACACGTGACAGGGCAAAGAAAGAGAAATCAGCATCCCAGGATTCTCTTGGGTACAGTGTGGCTGATGAGGAAACAGAATGGCTCCAATCCTTTCTACTTCTCTTATTCCGATCTCTGAAGCAGCATCCTCCCTTGCTTCTGGACACGGTGAAGAACCTTTGTGATATCCTGAACCCTTTGGACCAGCTGGGGATCTATAAGTCCAATCCTGGCATCATTGGACTTGGAGGTCTTGTGTCCTCTATAGCAGGCATGATCACTGTGGCATATCCTCAGATGAAGTTGAAGACCCGTTAGGGTGTTTTTAGGCTTGGAACTAGTACCTACTTTAAAAGATGGCCTCTTAGTGGGATAGAAATTTGTGTAAGTCAAGGCCATGTCATACTGTGCTTAAGTTCTTGTTCATGTGAGCATTTAACAACCTATGATGTGGGCAGAGATGAGGCCAAGAATGGAGAAGGGAGGAACATGAAGACTTGTATGTTTTTGGGGTGCTGGAGTGACTTGTGAATTTCTGAATATTTTCCCTTCATCTAACATTGATTGAACATCTCTTATGTGCATAGTGGGAGCTTAGTATTTGCTGAATGAATAAAAATTGAAAGGAAAAAATTTAAAAAGACCCAATCACACTGATCATTTAACACTAATATACAATAACTTTAGGGTTATATGGATCATTGGTTTCACATAATTACAGTAGGTCTGGTGCATGGCACTCTCAGATCTAGTAGAGGCTCTGATGTCAGTAGCAGGGTGGAGGAGAGCTGGGCTGACAGCCTCTCAACTTGTTGGCCCTTATACCATCACTATACTCATGTCCTTGCTCTGTCCAGAAGTAGAATCAGAAAAGCATCAGGCACCTTCATGGTATAAATTGTGTCTATGGGTGCAGTGAATAAGCAAAAATCAGAAGCAGACAGGAGGGACTTATAAAAATAGGCAGAGGGTCACAATGGGTGCCTATATGTAGCCTGTGACAGATAAGAAGCTGACAGACAAAAAACAACTAAGGCTAGAGCCTCATTCCTCTGACTCCTAATCCAGTGTTTGTTCCATGCTCTCCCACTGTCTTCAGAATTGAGTAGAAATGTGATCCCCTCCTGAATCCTGTCTTTTGCCTCTTACTCTCCCATAATTTGGACCTTCCTTGTCCAGTGGTTTATATTCTTTTCTAGAAAAACTAAAACTGGGTGGAGTGTGGTGGCTCACACCTATAATCCCAGCACTTTGGGAGGCTGAAGCAGAAGGATTGCTTGAGGCCAGGAGTTCAAGACCAGCCTGGGCAATGTAGTGAGACCCCATCTCTACAACAAAGTGTTAAAAAATTAGCCAGGCATGGTGGCATATGCCTGTAGTCCCAGTTACTCTGGAGGCTGAAGCAGGAGGATCACTTGAGTCCAGGAGTTCAAGGCTGCAGTGAGCTTCCACCGCACTCCAGCCTGGGTGATAGAGCAAGACCTTGAGTCTTAAAAAAAAAATTATAACAGTATTTAGACTCATCAGCTAGATTGTTTTATTTAAATCCTTCTAACAATTTAGGCAATACTACATTAATTTTCATCAAAATTTATCTAGTCAAAAAAATTTCATGATACTCCAGATGTAACAGGGTCACAATTTTCTATGATAAATCAGACATCTTATTTGTAGGGTGATTGAGGGAGGTGTAAAGCACAGGAGGAAGCCAGTGAAGAGGACACTGGAATGCTGAGTCAATGACATTGACTCGTGTTCCTATCTCCCATCTTGGATGTGGGTCTTTATATGTGGTTACAGATCCTTTAGTTTGAGGGAGGTGAGGTAGGGAAATAGGATGCCAGCAGGTAGGAGGCTGATGTCAGCCCTCCCAGCAAAGCCGTGTCATTTATCTGAATGGAAATGAGAAAATAAATATGTACTCAATAAGTTATATTTCCCAGAAATGTGATTGAGATTCTCAAAAAATAGACTCATATTCTTGGCTGTCTGTTTAACCAATCAAGATATGGAATTTGAGAAATAAAATTTTGGAAATTTTAAGAGACATGAAAGCTACTAGGTCAGGGCAAATTAAAAGCTTAAATAGCTATTTTTATTGTCCAGATCCTCTACTGTAATAGATTAATTATGTTCAATAAATTTCTAGACAAAATTGACTTGTGTCTGTGAGTATGTTCTGGGAATAGAGAAGAGTTAAATGTAAGGCAATCCAGCAGATAATCCTCAATCAGCCTACACAGTTGGTACAGCGAGCTCTGGGCTGGAAGATCCAGACTCAGGAGGAGGATGGAGAAAGATTGAGATGTAGAGCCTCTGGGTTAAAAGGGACCTCTGAATGAGCTCATCTAGACTGCTGCCATGGAGAGGGTGCTCTACAGTAGCCCTGTCAATGGCTGGCTGGCTTCTGCCTAGATAAGTCTGCGTTGAATTCATGGTGGTATGTTACAGTGGTATCCATCTTAATGGTGTCCTGGTACCTCCCTGTGAATCCTTTTTTCTAACTAATGTTTTCCACCCCAGAGCCTCCACATTCATGAGGGATGCCAAAAATTGAAGTTCTTCATAGATGTACAGCCCAGCACATTCACAACTGAGCATTGTTGCCTGATAATTCATTTATTCAACAATAAATGTTTGAGTGCCATGCATGGTTTTGGGGATCCACTTGTGAGCAAGATGACCTAGGTCCCTGCTCTCATGTGGTGGAGGGGTAGGGAAAGCAGGTAGGGACGGAGAAGGAAAGAAGATAGAACTCTATGCCCTGCAAGCTACTGCTAGAAAACTAACACTTCTGTCTTCCCTCGGGACTCTCCTAGGCCCTTTCACCACTTCTCACCTCTCACCCACATTCTGCACTCCCAGCTAAAGCAGCCAAAGGACTAGTTGATTTGGCAGAGCTTTCAGGCACAAAGCCCTATACTCCCTCTGGCCCAAAGCCACTACTCTGAAGGCTGAAAACTGCCCTTTGGCTCAGGTTGCTGTCCAGTCACAGCCTCACAGATGATTTGTGCTGAACCTTGAGGTGAGGGCAGAGGCCACTTCTTTAAATACTTTGTCTTCTCTACTGCCTTACATTTGAAGAGCCCAGGTTGGATCAATAAGTATTAAATGTATAGCATATTACTCCTTTGAAGCCTCCCTGCTTGACTCCTCCCTTTCCTGCCTTCTCATTCCCTACTTTATTGCATCACAGATATGTAATTTATTACCAAGGATCTTTCATAATTCCCCACTCCCATCTCTTTCTTCTCTTGCCCACAGTGTGTGACTTAGAAGAGTCAACAATACATGTAATTCCACCAGCAACAAAGAAAATACGTTTTGTTTTCCTATTGTCCATTTTCACAAAGAGGCCCTTCTTAGTTAATCTGAAAGCTATGGCTTACACCATAGTCCTCCATCATATCTGAAGCCAGGAACTAGAACTTGGGCTTGTGCTTGAGTCCTGCCTAAAGAAGGGTTGAGTGATGCTAGTTCTTGGTTGTCTTGCTATTGATTAGTGATAGAATCTTAGTCAACACTGTCGCTTATCCAGACTTAGGGGAACAAAAATCTACTTGGCTCTCCCACTCTTCATTCTGGTAGCATCTTAGGCCAGGTAAAGTTCAATAAATTTTTTTGAACTCTGAGAAGTGGAAATTCCTCCCTCAAAGGCTATATTGTCAAAAACAACTCCCGGCTCTGTTGCTTCTTCACTGAGGGCAATTTATCTCCATAATCAAAGACTAATACATTCAGATGAACTCTTCTGTGTGGGTTTAAATTTTACTGTTCAACATTCACTCTTGCTAGTAAATAAGAAAAGATGAGAGAAATGGATTGAGAACTGTTCCACAAGACCCTCTACAGAAAAGGAGCCAAAAGATTGCAGAGGTATATAGAACTTTAGAGCTTTTGAGTTTAACGATGTATATCTCTATACCTTCTTTCTGGAAAGCAGACTTTTGTGAATTGAGGGCAGGAACATTATAGAACTGATGCTTCATGGCTCTGGAATACTAAGTCCTCTGAGCCTGGATCTCCTTCAGCTCTGCCACCTACCTCCTTGTTTGCTAAATGTCCTTAGAGAAGTTAGGATATGCCTGGTGAACCCTGGGTCAGATAACCATGACAACTGCTGACCCTGCTTTCTCTTCCTCTCTGCCCTCCTCTAGCTGGGAGGCGTTAGTAGCATTGCCCAAGGCTCCCAGGAGTGGTAGGAATTGTTTCTGCCTGAGGAGACGCTCTGCAGCCTGGGCTCTGTGAGACTGACGTGGCGGTCAGCTGGAGTGAGTGTTGGGGTCCTGGGGCACCTGCCTTACATGGCTTGTTTATGAACATTAAAGGGAAGAAGTTGAAGGTAAGGGCCTCTTGGGAATTTTGCTTGGGATGAAAAGCTCTGCAGGGAAACTACTGAGGGAGAGATTCTGGTATAGATACTCTATACCAGAAGTATAGAATAGCTATTCTGGGGCTACTGTCTTTTCCAGAACACAGATATGTTTGCTTAGAAATAGAAGAATTGGGTGGGAACAGTAGATCATGCCTTTAATCCCAGCACTGCAGGTGGCCGAGGCAGGTGGATCACTTGAGCCCAGGAGTTCAAGAACAACCTGGGCAACATAGTGGGATCCTGTCTCTACAAAAAAAGAAAAAAATTAGCCCTGCATAGTGGTGCATGCCTGTAGTTCCAGCTACTTGGGAGGCTGAGGTGGGACGGTACCTTGATCCCAGGAGATCAAGGCTGCAGTAAGCCATGATTGTGTCACCACATTCCATCCTGGGCAACAGATTGAGACCCTGTCTCAAAAAAAAAGATAAGGAGAGGGGGAGAGGGACAGACACACACACACACACACACACACACACACACACACACAGAGAGAGAGAGAGAGAGAGAGAAATAGAGGAATTAACCCAGAGCCTTTTCAAAGATGAAACCTGAAACTTGCTTATTTATTTTTTTAGAGATGGGGGTCTCACTATATTGCCCAGGCTGATCTCAAACTCCTGGGCTCAAGCAATTCTCCCATGTTAGCCTCAGTAGCTGGGATTACAGGTGCTTGCCAATGCCCCCAGCTTGAAACTTGTTTTAGTCTCTTTTGGACCCTCATTAAAGAGCCTTAAGACTTTAGCTAAAACTTTTTATCTCTTATGGCTGCCTGCATTTTTTATTTCCTAACCTGAACTCTTTTTTTATTGAAATGGAGTTTTGCTCTTGTCGCCCAGGCTGGAATACAGTGGCATGATCTCAGCTCACTGCAAACTCCGCCTCCCGGGCTCAAGTGATTATCCTGCCTCAGCCTCCCAAGTAGCTGGATTACAGACGCCCACCACCATGCCTGGCTAATTTTTGTATTTTTAGTAGAGACAGAGTTTCACCATGTTGCCCAGGCTGGTCTCGAACTCCTGACCTCAGGTGATCTGCCCGCCTTGGCCTCCCAAAGTGCTGGGATTACAGGCCTGAGCCACTGCGCCTGGCCTCCTAACCTGAACTCTTATAAGAAACGTTATTCTTGGCTTGGCCAAGGTGGGCAGATCACTTGAGGTCAGGAGTTCGAGACCAGCCTGGCCAACATGATGAAACCCCATCTCTACTAAAAATACAAAAATTAGCCGGTATGGTGGCTCATGCCTGTAATCCCAGCACTTTGGGAGGCCGAGGTGGGCGGATCATGAGGTCAGGAGATCGAGACCATCCTGGGTAACATGGTGAAACCCCGTCTCTACTAAAAAAAATAAATAAATTAGCCAGGCGTGGTGGCAGGCGCTTGTAGTCCCAGCTACTTGGGAGGCTGAGGCAGGAGAATGGTGTGAACCCGGGAAGCAGAGTTTGCAGTGAGTGGAGATCATGCCACTGCACTCCAGCCTGCACAACAGTGTGAGACTCCATCTCAAAAGAAAAAAAAACCCGTCTCTACTAAAAATACAAAAAATAAAAATAAAATAAAATTAGCCGGGCGTGGTGGTAGGTGCCTGTAATCCCAGCTACTGGGGAGGCTGAGGCAGGAGAATCCCTTGAACCCAGGAGGCAGAGGTTGCAGTGAGCTGAGATTGTGCAACTACCTTCCAGCCTGGGCGACAGAGCAAGGCTCCATTTCAAAAAAAGAAAGAAAGAAAGAAACATCAGTCTTGACAAGTAAGCTACGGAGCAACTCATTCCTATGGGACCCTAAGGAGTGGGGCTATTGTGTGTGACATTCACCCTCCAACCTAATGCCTTCCGTTCAGGGCAAATGGGCCCCCAGGTTGGTGGCCACGAGAAGTAGGGAAGTGACCCAGTGGAGCTCAAGCCTGAGGGCTTCTGATGGGACCTGGGACTCTGTTTTGCAGCTTGAAGAGCTAGGATGGCAGTCAACAAAGGCCCCACCTTGCTGGATGGAGACCTCCCTGTAAGTAACTCGGGCTCATCTGTGACAGGGGATGGACAACTGAGGGAGGAGGAAGAAGCAGGGAGGGAAGATGCAGGGGACTTAGAGCAAGATATGCCCAGATTATAATCCTAGTTCATTGACTACCATGGCTTAGTTATTCTTGCCCTCACCACCTTTTGTAGAGGGCAGTTGGAAGATCTGGGAGAGGAAAAAAGATGCTTATTAAAAACTAAGCACCTTGGAAACAAGGGACAGAAATCCTGGCTTAGTGGGGAGTGGAGAGGAAGGGAATGACTATGTTTAAACCCTGATGCAGAAGCCCATGCTCTGTCCGCCGCCCAGCTGGATGTGTATTCAGTGCAGAGCCACTGCATTCTTTGTCTCCAGCATCATTCATATGGCAAATGGCACCTCCCGGAGTCAGACAGTACACAGCCTGTGCTGCTGTGTCAGGGGAAGGGTGGGATATTCCGTGTGTCTGGTGTTCTATCTCTGACCTGGTTTTCACTGTGATTTGAAGTGGTTTGATACTTTTAGGAATGCTTGATGGCTCTTGGCAAGGCATCTCAGATTTGCACACAGTTCAGATAGTGAAACTTAAAAATTGTGAACCTGTACAATATCCACCTTGCCCAAGTTAGGCTTATACTAACTCTTGCACTAGGAATCACTTTGTTTTGTATTGAATAATAGAAGAGAGAGGCGTAAAATGGTCGAGTACATAGTGAAGCCATTCTAACAGACGGTGGTTTATTCCCTTCCCAGGATCTCTTTCCCCCTTTGGTTTTGTCTAAAACAACCTCTGAAGGCTCTGTCCAAACTGTTAAAAAGAATGTTTTCACTGGGCGCGGTGGCTCAAGCCTGTAATCCCAGCACTTTGGGAGGCCGAGGTGGGCGGATCACAAGGTCAGGAGATCGAGACCATCCTGGCCAACATGGTGAAACCCCGTCTCTACTAAAAATACAAAAAATTAGCTGGGCGTGGTGGCGGGCGCCTGTAGTCCCAGCTACTCGGGAGGCTGAGGCAGAAGAATGGCGTGAACCCGGCAGGTGGAGCTTGCAGTGAGCCAAAATCGCGCCACTGCACTCCAGCCTGGGAGACAGCGAGACTCCGTCTCAAAACAAAAACAAAAACAAAAAAACCCGAAGACATTGTGGGCTGCTCTGTCTTAGTGTACACATAGGTCTCATTGATGGGGATCTTTGAACTCTCCCTCCTACAAACAGAACAGGCCAGGTCTTCACTTCATGAGCAAAACCATGCCACAGTGTCATATTCAAAGTTACAGAGAGCCTGAGCATCTGAATCTGACCTGGGGAGTTTTTTCTTTTTACTTTAGATATGGAGAATTCTCAACATTCATAAGAACAGACAGAAAAGAACATAATAAGCCCCATGTACCCTTTGTTAGCCCTGAAGACCATGAATTCATGGCCAATCCTGCCTCATCCTCACTTCCATTAATTCCTTCACTTTGTGTTATTTTGAAGATAATCCTAGGCAGGCTATTTCCAACTCGAGTTGGAATCCTGGCTCTGCCACTTACCAGCTGTGGGATCTTGGGTAAATGACTTCCCATTTCTGATCGTCAGTCTCCTCATTGACTCAGTGTTGGTGACAGTGCTAACCCCAGAGGATGGCTGTTAGAATTAAGTGAGCTCATGTCACCAAGGCACCCAGACCAGTGCCTGCAGCATAATGGCACCTGACAAATGCTCTTTCCCTCTGCATGCCTAGAATTTGTTCTTTTAATTTTATTTATTTATTTTTTAGATATAGTGTCTTACTCTGTCACCCCAGCTGGAGTGCAGTGGCACCATCATAGTTCACTGCAGCCTCGGCCTTCTGGTCTCAGGCAGTCCTCCCACCTCAGCCTCCCCAGTAGCTGGGACTCTGTAGTCCACATGCCATCAAATATTAGCATGACTAGCTTTTTTTTTTTTTTTTTGTGGCTCAGAGTGTTCTCAGACTCCTGGCTTCAAATGATCATCCCGCCTCAGCCTCCCAAAGTGTTGGGATTACAGGCATGAGCTTCTACTGTTAGCCCTAGAATTCACTCTTTTACTCAAAGACCAGTGTTTTTTCACTAAGGTTCCTAGGTGACCTAAAGCTTAATTATGTGACTGCTGCCAAAGGTGCATTACTAACAGCATAGCACCCTGGAAATGATAAACGATTGTTCCACTACACTCAGCACGCACAGATCACACCCAGAGTGCTGTCTTTGAGTGTTTTCTGTTTGTTCGTTTTTTTTGTTTTTTGAGACAGGGTCTCATTCTGTCATCGAGGCTGTAGTGCAGTGGCATGATTATGGCTCACTACAGCCTCCATCTGCCAGGCTCGTGTGATCTTCCCACCTTAGGTTCTCGAGTAGCTGAGACCACAGGCACACAGCACCATGCCTGCTAATTATTATTATCATTATTTTTTGTTGAGACGGGGTCTCCTTATGTTGCCCAGGCTGGCCTCAAACTCCTGGGCTCAAGCAAGGGTAGTATATTTTTAAGAAAGATAATGTAAAACTGTAGCATGTCCAGGAGAGGGGGTCACCAGACCACAGTGTGAACCATTTGTAAACGAAGTTAGGAACTGGAGCCATTTAACATGATGGAGGTACTTCCTGAGGGAGACATATTTGACTTCAAATATGTGAAGGGCCAACCCATGAATGATGAAATAGGTTTGCTCAGTTTTGTTCCAGAGGGCAGAGTGTGGAACAGGGGGATAGAGGCAAATTTCAGCTCAGCAAAGCTGTCCAACAAGGGACACAGGTCACTTTATGAGGGGGAGAGCTCTCATTCAGGCAGATATTTAAATATAAGTCTTGGCTGGGCACAAAGGCTCATGCCTATAATCTCAGTGATTTGGGAGGCTGAGGCAGAAGGATCACCTGAGGCCAGGAGTTCAAGACCAGTAAGACCTGCCCCCTCTACAAAATAAAAGTATTAGCAAGGCATGGTGTCACACGCCTGTAATCCCAACTACTCAGGAGGCACAAATGTGAGGATTGTTTGAGCTCAGGAGTTGAGGGTTACAGTGAACTATGATGGCACTAATGCACTCCAGCTTGAGCAACAGAGTGAAACCCTGTCTCTAGGAAAATAATAAATAAATAAAAACAAATACAAGTCTACCAGAGAAACGATGGAAAGGATTCTTACCACAAAGTCCCCTGGGGGCCTAAGATTCTGTGATTCTGTGCAGTTGGGCAGATCTAAACCTACGCCTTCTACTAGGCACAGCCCTGACTGTGGTTCAGGTATTCAGCTAACATTACTGTGCCATGCTTTAGGCTACACTCTGGGGATACAGAGATGACAGTCTACGGGGAGTGAGATGAATACCCATAACCATAGCACTGTGTAATGAATGTGGAGACAGCCAGGGAGGGAGTGGTTTCCGACGCGATGGAGGAGAGTCTGGAAGCTTCACAGGGGAGGTGCTGGTCAAGTGGAGTCTTGAGGGAATGGCACTCTGCCAGGCAGCAAGGGCTGTGGGAGGGAAGGTGAGCGTTCTAGGCAGTGGGGCCAGGATACACAGGCGGGGAGGCAGTACCTCAGAAAGACCAGAAAAATGTTTGAAGAAGCCACCAATCAAAGGTGGATTAAAACTCTAGACATTAACAACACTTGCTCTCTACTAGTAGGTATCAGGGGAGTGAGTTGGGGTGGGGGTGGGGGTGATGGGATCTGACTTGGCCCCTGGAGAACAGAGATTGCCTTGGCAGCTCTCCAGAACCTGGATGGTGACCAGGAGGACATGGCCTTGTTTTCCCCATGGGCTCTCCCATGCTCTCATGATTGGGGCATCTGGAGACCTCTTTGGCCTTGGTTCCTCCCAGGTCACTTGGACTCAGGCTAGTTGCACCATTGGACTCCATGACCCTGAGGTCCCCTTCCTGGGAGGCTGGAGAGGGAGGTGGGACAACTTGAATGTGTTCCTTCCACACTAGGAGCAGGAGAATGTGCTACAGCGGGTCCTGCAGCTGCCGGTGGTGAGTGGCACCTGCGAGTGCTTCCAGAAGACCTATACCAGCACTAAGGAAGCCCACCCCCTGGTGGCCTCTGTGTGCAATGCCTATGAGAAGGGCGTGCAGAGCGCCAGTAACTTGGCTGCCTGGAGCATGGAGCCGGTGGTGCGCAGGCTGTCCACCCAGTGTGAGTCCTGACGGCACTCAGCAGCTGCCTGCTTGTTCACTGCCTACCTGCCAGTCTGTCTGTCTGCCTCTCAGTCTGTCTGACTGATAACTTGCTTGTCTGTCTGCTTAACTGCCCACATCCCATTGCATGGTCTTCTTATCTATGGATATAAAGGTATACATACAGATCTCTTTTCATCTATAGATGCCTATCTGTGGCCCAGCTGGCCTTTGCCTAGGATAACAATGATGGCCAGAGAATCTGCAGGGGAAGGGAAGGCAGAGCTATGCAGGCAGTGGTGAGGTTGGGGCCCGTGGCAGACCAGACACTCACTGTAGCAGCACAGGCAGCAGCAGCAAGAACCAGCAGTCTGGCAGAGGCAGAGGCAGCCACACTAGGGGGCCTGGCAGGGCTGGATGGCATGGAGGGAGGGGAAAGCTGGCTGAGCCCAGCAGCTGATGGTAGCAGCTCATGACAGGTGGGGGCAGCAGAGAGCCACTAGCCAGGGCCCTGGAGGCAGAAGACGGTTCTCTTACGGGCCTTACCAGGTGTGCACCACTCAAATTGTTCTGCCCCATCCGAAAATGTGGTCTCCAAGGCATAGCTCTTGACAGGGTTGAGGGAAATTGCAGTAATGCCAAAAAGTCTAGCACCTTCCACCATCCTAATTACAGAATTATGGGTAGCTGAGGACTCCACACAGCAAACAGGAGAGGACAGATGTAAAGTAGGCCCAGGCCCTGTGCCTGGCTGCAAGCTCCTTAAATAGTTGCCTTGAGTCTCATTCTGCCCAACTGGAAGACAGTTAAGTCATCTGGGCTCTCTGCTGCTCGAGAATTTTGTGAAGAAAAATAAGGTATCTGGAGAAAGAATATATGAAAGAGTACAAAGAACTCTCCTTGAAAGCTATGGCCCCCAGTGGCCATGGCTGCAGAGCCAATGTCCCGGCAGACCCAGGCGGGATCCCCTTGAAGCAGGTGCATCTCTGATGCAAGCCCACCCTCCAGGGGCAACTGTTTTCCCTTCCCTGCGACCCTCTTCAGACAGCTGACCATCTCAACACCGAGTGGTTAAAAAGAAGAGCATGGACAGCCTGGGGCCTGCACTGGCTATGCTGGGAGTTTGTCATGTTGAGAGCTAAGCAGGCCCAGCCCCAAGGGCTCACTGCCATCTGCCTCCCTCTCACACCTCTCTTCTCCCTCCTTATGCTCACTCAGAGCCCCCATGCAGGTCCGGAGGGAAGAGAAGGGAGGAAAGAACAGTACTTGTTGGTGATTCATATAGCTCCCATCATTCTTCATAAAAATTCTGCCAGGCAGGCACCATTAATTCACCTTTCACAAGGTAGGAAGCAGAGGCTCAGACAGGCTGTGACTTGCTGAGGCCACAGGCTGCTTAGGCGTGGTCACTTGGCCTTTTGAGTGCAGGTCTGAGTGACTCCAGAGTTCCCACACAGATGTAAGAAACTGGCCCGGGTCTCGAGGAGTCCCTGCGGACAGGGGCTAAAGAGGGCAAAGGGCCTGGGGTCCAGAGATGCTGGGGAGGCAGCAGGCCTTGGGATTTGAGGGCTCCAAGTCACTTCTTTGGCACAGAGGCCACTGCTAGATTCTCATGGAGACAGGCAGGACTCATCCAAACTTGACCCCTTCCTTCCAGTCACAGCTGCCAATGAGCTGGCCTGCCGAGGCTTGGACCACCTGGAGGAAAAGATCCCAGCCCTCCAGTACCCTCCTGAAAAGGTAAGCCCCTTCCCACCTCTTGAAGCCGCCCTGCACTCTGTCGTCACCACCTCTCAGAGTGGAGAGGGCAGGGGCTGCTGATGCCGTGACTGGAAGTCTGTGTCCCATGGTGAGCATCGTCCAAGACCGGCAGAGGCTGCCTGCTCCCAAGGCCACACCACACAACAGGCTCCTCTTCTCCCTGTGAAGCTAAATGGAGATGAGGTTTCTGGGACCAGCAGGCACGAGCCCAGAGGCAAACCCAAACAGGAGCTCTGGCAAGTCCTACTGCCTCCGGATACCACACCCTGGGATCTGAGGTTCCACAGTCTGCCCTGGACCACTTGGCGACTACAGCTGCTTAAGGTCATGAGTCACACTCATTCAGATCCCAGGAGTGTCGTCCCATATCCTCAAGATCCAACATTTTATGGACCATGAGATTGAAAGTCACTTTACCTGGCTACATATTTATTAGGTAGTTGCTATGATAAGGACTTGTTTTTGGTGCTTCTGGGGAATAAGCTTCAGTCTCTGACCTCATCTATCTCATTGACCAACTACCCTTCCCACAAACATGTACTGAGCCCTACCCTATGCCCGGGGCCATCACCTATGCTTTATCAAGTACTCTCACTTAATCCTCTTGTCAACCCTCTGGGATAGGGGTTGTTATCTCCATTTTACAGAAAAGAAACCAGTAAGTGGAAACAGTGAGAGCAGGTCCATTGAGCTGTGAGGCCTGTGTCCTTTGCTCCCCATTTTTCCAGATTAAAGGCAACATTTTTGTCACAAAGGTGCTCCCAGGATAATGAAGAAAAAGATAAATTATTTCAATGCAGAACTTGTAGGAAGATCAAGCACACCTATAAATCAATAGAAACGCTGTGTTCTGAGGAAAGGATGAAGGAGATTCCTTGTGAGCAAGAGGGTATCAGGACAGGTGGCACCAAGGAGGAGTCTTTGGGGTCATCCTCACAGGATGAGAGGGATCTTGACAGGCAGTGATGGGGGTGAAGAAGCCAGGAGATCCAAACAGTTGGCACAAGGAAGGTTGGAGCCCTCTCCCTTTAAAGCCTAGCTTAATTCCAGGTACCCAAATATCAGTGCCAGTTCCCTGGGCCTTTAGATGACGCCTTCCTGGGACCTGGGCTCAGGCCACCAGACCCCGAAAGGGTTGCCCTTCCAGGGCCTGCAAGACCACATGCCTAACACCCCCACCAACTTCCCCCAGATTGCTTCTGAGCTGAAGGACACCATCTCCACCCGCCTCCGCAGTGCCAGAAACAGCATCAGCATTCCCATCGCGAGCACTTCAGACAAGGTCCTGGGGGCCGCTTTGGCTGGGTGCGAGCTCGCCTGGGGAGTGGCCAGAGACACTGCGGAATTTGCTGCCAACACTCGAGCTGGCCGACTGGCTTCTGGAGGGGCTGACTTGGCCTTGGGCAGCATTGAGAAGGTGGTGGAGTACCTCCTCCCTCCAGACAAGGAAGAGTCAGGTACCTGCCATTCGGAGGCTCGGCCTGGGAGTGAGTTGTCACACACACTGCCTGGGAATCAGCAGGAGGTGGCAGGGCTCATCCAGCCACTGCTCTGGAATAGGGAAGGCCAGTGGGATTTTGAGATGGATTCATAATCATTTACCCCCCTCCGCCCCCACCCCATCTGTAAAGAGGGAAAGTGAGTTGTGGAACTCACCAGTGAGTTTGTGGTGGAGCTAGAACACCTGCTTTCCAGTCCTAGACATGACCCAGATCTCCCCAGCCCCTCTCTTACCTGTTTTCTCTTCTTTTGCCCCAAATCGCTACCCAGCCCCTGCTCCTGGACACCAGCAAGCCCAGAAGTCTCCTAAGGCCAAGCCGAGCCTCATGAGCAGGGTTGGGGCTCTGACCAACACCCTCTCTCAACACACCATGCAGACCATGGCCCGGGCCCTGGAGCAGGGCCACACCCTGGCCATGTGGATCCCAGGAGTGGCGCCCCTGGTGAGTATCTGCCCTGAGCTCTGACTGGTCCCATGCCTGGGACCCTTGTGGGCCTCTTAGTCCCTCCCATCCCCCACCCATTGCCCCTTCCTGTCCTGAGAACATTCTCTCTTCCAACCTGGGCTAGGACTTTAGTTCTAAGGACAAGAGGCCTTGAGAGGGGTATAGGGATGGCCTTCCAGACCACAGGGAAAGAGAAGGGACAGGATGTTAAGCAAGGGCAGGCCTGCCTTGCTAGAGTGCTCCTGCCCCACCACTCACTTCTATCTCCCCCATTTCCCTCTGAGTCTCCCCCAAGCCCCAGTCTTCATCCCCCCAAGTCGGCCTCTTTCTATGGGTCTTCCCACCTATAAGACAGCAGGACTTCCATCTGCTATGCAAGCACTAGGGACTGTCGTCCTTAAATAAACAAAGTACACAACCCATATTGTCAGGGAGAGTGTACCCAGCACCAATGCACCCAAGGTAAATTTGCCCTTTCTAGGCCCAGGGAGAGTTAACTCCCCACCACTCCCCACCTCCACCTCTCTGTATTTTAGCAGAAATAGGCTGGATTTTTTTCATAAGGAATTTTAGTAAGAAACTAGCGCCAGAAAAGAAAATAAAACAACATTAAAGCACAAAGGTCAGCAAACAAGATTACTACTTTTCAGCCATCTTTTGAGCAGTACTTTTAAAAGCATCATCAGGCCTGGATCATTCATTCAAGCAAGTGTTGCCCCTGCAGGGATACAGGAGTAGTAGTTCCCCTCAGTCCCCTGCATCAATAACGGCTGAGACTGAGTCACATGCCTGGGCCTGGCCTGCAGTGGGCAGAACCTCACATGCCACCATTCACATGGAATAGAGTGGCATCCCCAAAAGCTGTGTAATAAGGAGGCTCTGTTTGTGGGGCTCCCTAGAGGTTTAGAATGTGCCTCAGGAGACACCAGCCCACTTGCTCAGTCAATTTCTTCCCATGGGACACTCTGGTTCATTGAATGTTTCACTCTTTAGAGATCTGGGAGGAGTATCTACCAAAGCTAACAAACATATATCCTATGGCCCAGCAATTCCACTCTTAAGTGTATACCCAACAGAAATGAGCACTTAAGTCTCCCAAGACAAGTAAAAAATGTTCAGATCAGTGATATCCTTAGCTAAGAACTGGAAGCAATGATAATGCCCATCAACTGTAGGATGGGTAAGTTATGGGAAATGCGTATGATGGAATATTACACAGAAATGAAACAGAAGGAACTACGTCCATTTGCAGCAACATGGGTGAAACTTACACCATAATATTTAACTAAAGGAGCTATTAATGAATGAATACACATGATGTGACTCCACTTATATGAAGTCCAAAAATAGGCAAAACGAAGGCATGGTGACAGAGACCAGGATTGTGGTTACTCTTGAGGGACTATGGACTGAGTGGGGGACACAGGGAGTCTTTGGGTGTGAAAATGGTCTATGTTTTGACCTGTGGTGGTTACACAGGTGTGTTCTTATAAAAATTCACAAAGCTTACACTAAAGATGTGTGCACTTTAGTGTATGTAGATTACCATTCAATAAAAAGTTTCAAGAAAAGTCTGCTGGGGCCGAGCCCTGCTCACCACCTGGCCTGGACCCTGGGGGCGAGGGGCTTCGGCTGCTGGGGCTCCCTGGTCATCAGCAGGGGCAGTTGAGCCAGCAATCTGCTGCCATCCTCCCTCAGAGCAGCCTGGCCCAGTGGGGTGCCTCAGTGGCCATGCAGGCGGTGTCCCGGCGGAGGAGTGAAGTGCGGGTGCCCTGGTTACACAGCCTCGCAGCCGCCCAGGAGGAGGATCATGAGGACCAGACAGACACGGAGGGAGAGGACGTGGAGGAGGAGGAAGAATTGGAGACAGAGGAGAACAAGTTCAGTGAGGTGAGGGGGAGAGTGGGAGCCTCAAGGTCATCCAGTTCACAGAAGTGGTGAGAAGCAGAGGCATAGGGTGAACTCAGGAACTCTGGCCCAGATGCAGGGGCATGGCATGTGTGTGCAACACCCTTCACCCCACCCCCAAATGCCCAGCTGATGAGGGACTTCCATGTCATTCTCTCAGCTGATCCTTGCAACACTCTGTAAATAGGCAGGGCAGAGATTATTGTCCCATTTTGCAGAAGAAACAGAGGTTCAGAGAGGGAATGTGACCTGTCCAAGGCCACACTGCTAGTGGCAGAATAAGCCTGAAGTTTTGTAAATTTGGTATTCTCATGCTTTTCCCTTGAGCTCTGGGGCTGGTGAGGAGGGAAGGGTCAGGGGAGTTACTGCAGGAGGCACTGACCCTGCTCTGGCCCCCAGGTAGCAGCCCTGCCAGGCCCTCAAGGGCTCCTGGGCGGTGTGGCACATAACCTGCAGAAGGCCCTCCAGACCACCATCTCGGCTGTGACATGGGCACCTGCAGCTGTGCTGGGCATGGCAGGGAGGGTGCTGCACCTCACACCAGCTCCTGCTGTCTCCTCGACCAAGGGGAGGGCCATGTCTCTATCAGATGCCCTGAAGGGCGTTACTGACAATGTGGTGGACACGGTGGTGCATTATGTGCCGGTGAGTACCACCCCTGGCAAACTGTTAGTGTCCCAAGGGGGCCCGGACAGGGCAGATAAAGTAGATTTGACTGAAGGGGATGCAGTCTCCCTCCTTTTCCCTACTCCTCTGGAGACCTCCCTGCAGTCCGCAGTGCCCTGGCAACATTTTGACATACTGGGCCTCTCCCAGCCCCAGGAGTATAGAGGCCCATGGCTCTGGCCTGAGGCCTCTCCCCACAGCCCCTCCCACCTGCTGGTAGAGGAGTCTCCAGCCATTAGTCCCGGGATCCCAGTGACTCACCTTCACCCCTTTGCTCCCAACTGAAGGGCCGGGCAGGTGCTAGGCAGGTTTGCATGCTGCTGCGCCGGAAGGGGTTGAAGAGACTTCCAGGGCACCCTGAGGGGTGGGCCATGAGTTCCAGGGGACAGCAGCAGGCTCCACCCAATTCTATCACCTGTCGCCAATAGGAAAAACCCAGGAGATACCAATGCCATCCCTTTGGGAACCCCTTTCCAAAGCAAGTTATAGGTTATGCAGGCCTGAGGGGGGCTGGTCAGGGCAGAAAGCACCCTTAGAGCTGGTAAGGGGGTGGGTTACTCAGTCACTCTAGCAAGCAGCATGCCAGGGATCTTAGCAGCCCTTCTGTTCACCCTGCGCTCGGGCCAGCCCCAAGAAAGTGTACCCATCCCTGGCCAGGTCACTGTGTGGGCTGCAAGGAAGAGTTAGGAAAGCTGATGACCTCCCATTGAGGGTTCCCCTCAGGGAGGCCTAGGGGATCCTGAAACTTTGGGAGGCTTGGCTTGCCTGAGCGGCCACCTGGTCCATGGAGAAGCTCAGAGTGGGTAGGACCTCAGGGCTTTCCCCGGTGCCCCCCAAACTACTGAACCGCTCCCCAGCCTGTGGCCTCCTGACGGCCGCTCCCGGGGAAACAATCGAGGGACCCGGGAAGGGGCGGTGGGTGAGAGGCACAGGGACCAGGGCCAAGCCAGGACTCTAAGGCGGCTGCCGGGCCCTCAGCTCCCCAGGCTGTCGCTGATGGAGCCCGAGAGCGAATTCCGGGACATCGACAACCCGCCCGCCCAGGTCGAGCGCCGGGAGGCGGA